CTCATGCTCCCACACTAACATCATGTTTTCATATTGTAAGTGTATGGGTATTTATTTCACATGTTTTTACAGGTGTGGGCAAATCTAATATTCTATCCAATTATAATTACGCTGCAGCTCAGGGACATTAGTTATGATCTGTGAATGTGTCCTAAAGTCATGTATGAATCTCATTCATTTAGCTCACTTTGCTCAAAGTTGTCTTTGGGAAAGGATTCCATGTCTGAACATGAGTGAAAACCTTGGATGTGCTATGTGAGTCAGTCATTCTCAAGTCCAGGGTCTTGTTCAATGGCATTAAACTCACCTAACTCACTGATTCAACTGGAGACCAGGACACAGAATCAAACTTGCTTTGTTTGGTTGGTTTTTGTTTCTTCATATTAAAAAAATAAGTAAAGTGGCTGATTTTCCAGGGTTGAAGCATCACTGATACCCAGAGCATGCTGGTAGGCAAGTCCCGCAGCTTGGCAAAGCGGAGCTTTTTTCTAACTGGGCCCCTGTCACCAAGCTCCCAACCACACCTTTTCCAAATTGATCTGATCCCTTGTCAACAGTTCAAACCTCTTCCTTGACAACACCAATCCAGGAGAGAGCTTCAAATCCAGCCATCCTCAGAGTGTTCGGAGCTGGCTGCTTTCCAAGCAACCTCGGGGAGAGAGGCCTGCGCTTTCTAACAAAAGGAATGCTGCCTGAGGGCGTGGGTTACCAGGTGTGGCAAAAAGTTAGTGAACCAGAAAGAAGGGATTTATCAGCCATTTAAAAGGGGGTGGGGGAACCAGCCAACAATCAAATGACATCTGAGTCTACTCCCATCAGCCTGAGCTATGCTTTGGAGTGAAAACTCTCTAAAAGAAAACTCAGTGGTCAGATTTCAGGTGGAAAAAAAAAAAAAAACATGTAAAGCTCAAATATTTGGATTTTCCTGAGGTGACTGGTGGTCTCCAGAAGGTATCTCCAGTAAGAGTCAGGTGGGGCGTCAGTGATTTCTGCTGTTTGGAATACATTGCTTTGAATCTACTGAGGTTTTTTTTGTTTTGTTTTGTTTTGTTGTTGTTGTTTTTATTGCTATGTTGACTTAGAAAAGCCTCTTGATTCTTGGAAAGTCACTAAATTTATTTCTATAATTAAGTTATTTTAAGCTAAGAGTCTTGGTATATAAGTTTGAAGGATTGCACATACTAATGCGTTTTCTATTTAAGTAAAATTTAGAGATGCGAATAGTCTCAGGAGACTCTCTTGGAAGCTTTTGTATGAGCCTAGGCACTAACTTCGTGCTCAATACAAATCAATAGAACTAGTGTACTTTGGGGTACTCATCCCCTAGGGAGTCACTAATTCAATTATCTGTAGCCCTTAAAAAAAGTCACAATGAGGCTAATGAAATTTTTTTCTGAAGGAAATCTAGAGAAGGCACTAGATTTATTAACACAATTTCCACACAAGTTGTACAAAATTCAGTTTTAAAAACCTGTTTAATATCTAAGGAGACTTTATAACAGGGTTAAATTATACTAATAAAGAAGTATATTGTATGTCTGCAACTTCAAAACCATCCTAAGACGGCATTAAAACTTAGTGAGTTGTGCGGTTTTTGCTTTCTTTCTTTCTTTCTTTCTTTCTTTCTTTCTTTCTTTCTTTCTTTCTTTCTTTCTTTCTTTCCTTCTTTCTTTTTAAATATCAGATACAGATGAAAAACCTAACAGTCTTTGGATTGGGAATAACTTGTGGGGGTTTTCATTAAAGTTGGGTGCAGCTTGCTGCATTTTGGTTAGTTGGATGTCTTCAGCAATTTTTCAAATGTTTTGGGTTTGGCAAAGTCCAAAATGTTTTTTGCCAAGACCCTCTCTTCCCCTTATTTTTTAAACCCGTGTGAAATGCAGGGATAACTTAATCCATATGTGTCTGATTCATTTACACTTAACTCATCAAAATGTTATTTTGTGAGACCCATTTAATATCCAAGAAACCTTTTGAGTCTTTTAAAGAGGAGTCTTTTGTCTTTGAACCAGGAAGTTGCATTTTTCCATATGAATGGAGGTCTGGCTTTGAACAATTGGAGATGAGTAGATTTTTCAACTTAGATGCTTCAGAGTTTAAGTAGAATCAAAACTTGATATTATGGTTTTTTTTTTGTCTGCATAAAGGAAAGGTCATTTTTAAAGTATAGTCAGAGGAAGTGGAAAGAATTTGTGTCAAATCATTGTGTCAAGACCACATATGGAAGTTCATATTGGGAATCAACAAAATTTAAAAAAAAAAAAATCATTCCTCGTCTGATTTTTCTTTCATCTCTGAATTAAATGGCTCCATTTTGTGTTCATGAGAATATTTTCTAAAAGGTGGTGGACTGTGAGTCATCAGTGTGAGAGAAGGAGGGGGTTGTCATTTTCATTTTTAAGATTACAATTTTTTTCTTAAGATGAACACATTATTAATTTTAATAATATCTATGGAGTTAATAAATTATTCTGAGATTAAGGCAGTTGACAATTGGCCGGAGTTTTATGTTCAGAGATTTCTGGGGGAAAACAACAGCAAAAACAGGAGCCCATACGTTTTCCAAATCCCGTGTTATTTGAAAGAATACATTGGAATTTTGAAACAGTACTGGGAACCAAAAACTCTGAGCGTGAAACTTCACGGAGGCTGCTTGGAGCCCACATGAGAAAGTGAAGTCTCTAAGACTCTCTGTGAACCACCCCACCTCCCCCACCCCCTGTAAAAACCTGCAGGAGCTTCTTTCTTTCAAGGCTCCTTAGAAGCAGTGAGCAAAGAAAGGCCATTGCCATAACTGCTAGTGAACATGCAGGCCACGCCATGGAAACTAGCTGAAAATGTGATGCTGGGGTGACATTGCCAAGTTCAGCACTTCTATAAAGACCTGCTAGCACACAGAATGCTTTTTTCTCAACTGTTCTGTATTGTTGGATCACCCCCATTGAACAACCTTTTGAGAGGACCCCCATTTTTACTAATGTAAACATTCTGATGAGTATCCAAAGAAATGACCTTTGAGTGAACCTCTAACCTTCCCAGTAATTATTTGTTTGAAGACAGTGTGAAGTTCTCCTGCTGAGAACTAAGAACCATGATGCCTTGCAGCTCTGTGAGTGAGTGAGTGTTTGAGGGAACAGGAGAGAAAAGCATAAATAAGGGAACAATCTCCAGATGTAAATAAGAGAGAGGAAATTTAAAAGTGGGGGCAGCAATTTGTATCACCTAAAAGGTTGACCTACAAGAGAAAACAAAAAAACAACCCACCACACAACAGGATTGGCTGCACATGAACAGAGGAACTGCCCCTCTCCACCAGAAACATCAAGACAGAGCAGAAGCGCCTGCTCTGGGCATCTCTTGGTCAGAACTGACCCTTTGAGAAGAGCCCCTAGAAGGAGAAATAAGAACCCGGCCCTCCTAGGCCTCAGATAAATTCTTTTAACTGATAGGAGGGTTGCTTCAGGAAGTCTTTGTGATCTGATCAGCAACATTTCAGAGGACGGGGTAAATACATAGCTTCAACTCTCCTTTTCCGGCTCTCTATACTTACAGTAGCCTGGCACTTTCCTTCCCGAAAGCCAAGGGGTGGAACATTTTTGACAACGGAGACATCTTTTCTTAAGTACTAAAGAAATTCATTGTTTTGCAAACAGCATATGCAAAAGACTCCTTTGGTTTTCTCCTGGCTATTATTCATCAGCCTGACTGTATTCTTACCAGAGAACTCACAGGAGGCTGTGTGTGTGCTCACTGTCCTCCTCCAAGGGACTTAACTGCCAATACTTGAGAATTCTTTGGAGAATGTACTTTCAGGTCCTGCTTGGAGCCCCATGTGGATGCATTAATCATTAAGTCCCCCATATGCTTAAGGCTGGAAAGTAGGGATGCTGAGAAACAAATGTTATCAATAGAAAACATTTTGAAGGACCAGCTAGCGGTATGCTACTGAGCACCCGCCCTCCCTAGCCTAGTGCAAGGCCCCTGAATCTTTCCCAGAAGTTCGTACATGTGGGAGATACCATCATTAAAGGCACAGGGACAGGGGTAACTCGCAAATGGTAGAAAATTGTTTTGTTTTTATTAAATTTGGAGAAATAAAGGAGATTTCTTATTGTCTTACTCTGTTTGTACATGAATATTTGATGGGCATTATTAAACATTAAAGTAACATGAAGTAGGCACTTATTTTTGGATTTCCAACAAAATTAGATCCAGGCTTCTTAGACAAAATAACCACTGCTCCTTACATTCCTGGGAATCAGCAACCGCCTGATTTGAAAACGTTTCCCGGGCCCTAATATCAACCATGTGGACCCGAGGCTGGCTTTCGAGTGGGTTGAAAGGTGGCTGAGTTTATGGTTGGCAGTTAGCTTATCCACTGCCCTGGGTGTCCCAGCTTTGGCTGCAAAGGCCGCCCCCAGCTGGCACTGACCTCTGAGTGACCCCTAACTTTACAGGCTTAAGCTGCAGGAGTTGCCCCAAGACCAGAAGTCTTTGGGCCAGCACTTATTACTGCTGTGTTGGTGATAAAACTTCAGACAGCCTAATTGATGGCTTTGCTGACCTAACAATACCTTGTGAAAGCCGAGTGCGGGAGCCTGGCCTTCATTTATGGCCAGCTGCAAGGGGAGCTGAATCTCCCCGGGATGGATGGGGAGTCCTGGGAGAGAGGCAGATCTTCCAGCCCGTGAGCTGCGACCTGGAACCCACTTGTTCCAAAAGCACGCACACTCGCAGAAAGGAGACGCTTTCTGCCAGAGAAGTCTTGTCCCTCTCTGAAAATTCGTAGCAAGTTGTCTTGCTGTCGGCTCCGAGACGACAAGGGAGGCCACAATCCAGTCAGCTGCTTTTGCACACGGAAGGGCCAAGCTGCCTGTCAATTAAGTAGATGGTTTGCAGTAGGTATTGGATTGTGACGCGTCCTCCCCAGTGCTCACAAAAGCTGTTCATAGAACACTCAGACTGGGCTGGGTTAACCTTACTCTTCTCTTCTGTTTCAGGTTTATCAATGCCAGGAGAAGGATAGTACAGCCCATGATTGACCAGTCAAATCGAGCAGGCAAGTTCTAACACGTATCTATATCCACATCCCATGGGCCCAAGGCCTCCTCACGTTCTCCTTCAAGACTATCTCATCACCTGGTAAATAAGTACTTCCATCAGGCATTCTGGGAGAATTTTTTTTTTTAACATCCCCAGAATTCCGCTCTAGGAAGCAACTTCGCTAATTGGTGCTAATTGGAGATTTCCCACCCGACTCTACTGAAACGGCTTTTGCTTTTCTTTCTGAATTGGTAATTGGGCACAAGTATTCGTGCCACAAGCAGTTTGTTTGACTGTGAACTCTGGAATTACTCCTTGCCTGTCTGCATCCAGTCATTAGCACACTCTCATTTTCTTGTTACCCACAACTCCTTGGTGTGTGCTGTGCTCTCCCCACCGGAACGTACACGGTTAAACTCATTGTATCCATTCATTTGCTTTGACTATTCATAATATTCTATTAAAGCCTGACATGCGTTGCCGGCGTTATTTTTTATTAAAAGATTATTACCTTTGTTTAAAATGCACCACGTCCATCCCACTGAAATACATGAGGGGTTTTCTCACAATGTCTCTCCATTTCTCTAAAACAGTTATTATACAGGGCTGTCAGAGCCATCCCCATGTGCTCCTGAGCATTTCGCTCAGAAATTGGCATGCCCTTAGTTTGCTGAAGAGGTGTGGTCTCCCTACCAAGGTTCATAGGAAGAAAATCAGTTTCCCTTGGAATGACTGTGTCATTCACAAAGATGTTTAACTTGATGGGGACTCTAACTCTG